ACAGATGAATGGATAAAGAAGATGTGGTCCATATATACAATGGAATATTACTCAGCCGTCAGACAGGATGAATACCCAACTTTTACATCCACATGGATGGGACTGGAGGAGATGATGCTAAGTGAAATAAGTCAAGCAGAGAAAGTCAATTATCATATGGTTTCACTTATTTGTGGAACATAAGGAATAGCATGGAGGACATTAGGAGAAGGAAGGGAAAAAGAAGGGAGGGGAATTGGAGGGAGAGATGACCCATGAGAGACTATGGACTCTGAGAAACAAACTGAGGGTTTTAGAGGGGAGGGGGGTGGGGGGATGGGTTAGCTCGGTGATGGGTATTAAGGAGGGCATGTACTGCATGAAGCACTGGGTATTATACGAAAACAATGAATCATGGATCACCACATCAAAAACTAATGATGTACTGTATGGTGACTAACATAACATGATAAAATAAAATTTAAAAAAATGTCTATGCTGCCCAGAGCAATCTACACCTTCAATGACTTCCCTATTAAAATACCATTGGCATTTTTCAAAGAGCTGGAACAAACAATCCTAAAATTTGTATGGAACCAGAGAAGACCCTGAATCACCAAGGGAATGTTGAAAAAGAAAAACAAAACTGGGGGCATCACGTTGCCTGACTTCATACTATATTACAAAGCTGTGATCACCAAGAGAGCATGGTTTTGGCACAAAAACAGACACACAGATGAATGGAACAGAATAGAGAAGCCAGAAATGAACCCTTAACTCGACGGTTAATCTTTAACAAATCAGGAAAAAAATATCCAATGGAGTAAAGACAGTCTTCAATAAATGACGTGGGGTAAATTGGACAGCTACATACAGAAAAATGAAATTGGACTATTCCCCTACACCACACACAAAGATAAACTCAAACTGGATGAAAGACCTCAATGTGAGACAGGAATCCATCAAAATCCTAGAGGCGAACAGAGGCAGTAACCTCTTTGACATTGACCACAGCAACTTCTTGCTAGGCATGTCTCCAAAGGCAAGGGAAACAAAAGCAAAAATGAACTTCTGGGACTTCATCAAGATAAAAAGCTTCTGCGCAGCAAAGGAAACAGTCAACAAAACAAAGTGGCAACCCACAGAATGGGAGAAGGTATTTGCAAATGACACTACAGATAAAAAGCTGGTATCCAAGATCTATAAAGAACTTCTCAAACTCAACACCCAAAAAACAAAGAATCAAGTAAAAAAAAAAATGGGCAGATGAGATGAACAGACACTTCTCCAAAGAAGACATACAAATGGCTAATAGACACATGAAAAAATGCTCAACATCACTAACCACCAGGGAAATTAAAATCAAAAGCACATTGAGATACCACTTACACCAGTTAGAATGGCAAAAATCAACAAGGCAGGAAACAACAAATGTTGGCGAGGTTGTGGAGAAAGGGGAACCCTCTTACACTGTTGGTGGGAATGCACATTGGTACAGCCACTTTGGAAAACAGTGTGGTGGGTCCTCAAGAAGTTAAAAATAGAGCTACGCTATGACTCAACAATTGCACTACTAGTTATTTACCCCAAAGATACAGATGTAGTGAAAAGAAGGGGTCTATTCACCCCAATGTTCTTAGCAGCAATATCCACAATAGCCAAACTGTGGAAGCAGCTGAGATGCCTTTCAACAGATGAATGGATAAGATATGGTCCACATATACAATGGAATATTACTGAGCCATCAGAAAGGATGAATACTCACCATTCACATAGACATGGATGGAATTGGAGGGGATTATGCTAAGTGAAATAAGTCAAGCAGAGAAAGACAATTATCATAAGGTTTCACTTATATGTGGATCATAAGGAACAGCATGGAGAACCGTAGGGGAAAGGAAGGAAAATAGAATGCGAAGGGGAAGAAATTGGAGAGGGAAACAAACCATGAGAGACTATGGACTCCAGGAATAAAACTGGGGATTTAAGAAGGGAAGGGTAGTGTGGGGATGGGGTATCCAGGTGATCGTATTAAGGAGGGCATGTTTTGTGATGAACCCTGGGTGTTTTATGCAACTAATGAACCATTGGACACTACATCAAAAACTAATGATGTAATATATGGTGGCTAACTGAACATAATAAAAGAAAAATCAACAATGGTTGAGCCCAGAGAGTAATGGTATCTAAGGCTTGGAAATGCTTAGTATGTGTCAGACTTTTTCAAAAAGCTTTTATTATGGTAAAAATTGCATATCATAAAATTTCCCATCCTAACCATTTTTGAGTGGACAGCACCATAGTGTTAAGCATATTCACATTGTTGTGCAACCCATCTACAGAACTTTTTCATTTTGTAAAACTGAAACTCTATACCCATTAAAAATAAATCATTTCTCTCCCTGCAGCTCCTGGCAAACATCTTTCCACTTTCTGTTTCTATGAACTTGACTACTCTGGGGACCTTATACAAAATGGAAGATTACAGTATTTGTCTTTCTGTGTCTGGCATAGTTCACTTAGCATAATATCCTCAAGTTTCATCCATGTTGTAGCATATATCAATATTGTATTTCTTTATTTTTCAAGTTTTTATTTAAATTCTAGTTATTTAACATATGTGGTAAAATTGATTTCAGGTGTAAAATTTAGTATTCATCGCTTACAATAACACCCTGTACTCATTTTTTTAAAAGCTATATGCTATTTGATATTATTTCATATGGTAATACTAGGTTCAAGTTTTTGAGGAATGACCATACCATTTTCCATAGTGGCTGCAACATTTTATGTTCCTACCAACAGTGCACAGTTATTCCAGTTTCTCTCCATCCTCACCCCATTTTGTTTTGTTTTTATAGTAGCCATACTAATGGATGTGAAGTGATTTGTCATTGTGGTTTTGATTTACATTTACATGATTCGTGACTTCCAGCATCTTTACATGTGCTTCTTGGCCATGTATGTCATCTTTTGAGAAATATGCATTCAAATCCTTTGCTCTTTTTTTTTTTTTGATTGAGTTATTTTGTTGCTGTTGTTGGAATTGTACGCATTCTTTATGTATTGTACACATTCTTTATGTATTCTGGGTACTAATCCCTCAGCAGGTATTTTCTCCCATTCCATGGGTTACCTTTCCACTCCATTGACTGTGTCCTTTGATGCACAGAAGTTTTTACTTTAATATCATCCATTTGCCTGTTTTGTTGCCTGTTCTTTTGGTGTCATAACTGAGAAACTCTTGCCAAGTTCAAGGTAATGAAGCTTTCCCACTGTGTTTTCTTCTAGGAGTTTTATAGTTTTAAGTCTTACATTTATGTCTTTCACCCATCTCGTGTTCATGTTGTGTATGGTGTAAGGGTCCAACTTTGCTCTTTGGCACACAGATATCCAATTTTCCCAGCACCATTTGCTGATGTCAGGCGCTATTTTAAGGGCTTTATACACATGGACTCATTTATCTCACACATCAAGAAGGCACATTGCTATTACCAGCAGCAGAACCTCAGCATCTGGGTTGAACTCAACACAGAAGCCTGGGGAATTTGCCTAACTAGTGAGTGGGAAGGGAGTTGGGACTCAAACCCAGACTGTTCATCGCCATCTCTCCCTGTAGTGGTTTAAAACCTGTCCATCAATTCTTTGGCACTCCCTTCAAAATGTCAAGCCTAATTCCACTTCCTTTGGTGTAGTCTCTCTTGGAACACTCATGGAAGCCAGCTGCCATGCTGTGAGAACACTGAAGCAGCTCTCAGAGAGCCCCAAGCAGTAAGAAAGAGAAGCCTCTTGCCAACAGCCACATGGGGGAACCACCTTGAAAACAAACCCTTTAGCCTCAGTGACGCTTTCTGGGGACAAGCCCCGGCCATCATCTTGACAGCAATCTTACGAGAAACCTTGAGCCAGAGCCACCCAACTAAGCCACTCCCAGATTCCTGACCCACAGAAACAGAGTGAGATAATAAATACATGTCATTTTAAGTTGCCAAGTTCCAGGGTAATTATTTACACATCAAACAACCCCTTTGAGGAAGACAAAATCATTTTTAATTTTGGCAAAGTTCTGAAACCCAGAAAACTTTTCTATTGAAATGTGCCTGGTATGATGTCTTGTTACAGCAATTGAGAAGCACTTCAAAAATACCTAAGGACTATCACTCATCTCACATGCTTGTCTGGATTGGTGCCTTCTTAAACGCTGACCAGTTTTATTTGGACTGGTTTGACAAGTCAGACCTGTCCAGAGACTTGGAGGACAGTTGAGGGGCTGATTCTGAAGTTATCTTCTCAGTGCAGCTCAGGGGTACCCCAGTTTCTCAGGACATCATATCACACCCTTGGCTTATTTTGGACTTTCCAACACCATGTCTCCCAGATGAGCAAGAATTGATTTCATTTTTTTTATTATGTTTGGTTATCCAGCGTATAGTACATCATAACTTTTTGATGTAGAATATATTTCATATTTATAGACTTCCAACCTGTGAATTCATCAGCATGGAAACATTCCCATTTAATTACAAAATCCCTGCAGATATAATAGTCACCTTGCTTTCACACACCTTTTCATGCTGAAACGTGAAATTAATGGACATGGACAGCGAGGTGTTCTCTCTGGATCCCATTGTACCACTCACCACCTTGGAGTTCAGGTAGAAATTATGCAACTTTTCCTTTGTCATTAGGTTTTCCTCAGACACAAAGCTCTCGTCGATGATGGGACCAATAGAAGCATAAGATATAAATGCGACAGCACCTGGGATAAAGAGGAAAACCCCACCTAGTTTCAGTGCTACCCATTTGGGGGCAACATAAGTGATTTAAGGAATCATCTGTGTTAACTTTCATTTGTGAATATGTTGACAGACCACTGGAAAAAATAATTTAGTTCCCATTTATTTAGCCTTTACTGTGGGACAATGTGCTGAGTCATTCACATAAATCATAATTTAATTTTTAATGTTTTTTAATTTAATTTATTTTATTATGGTATGTTTGTCACCATACAATACATCATTAGTTTTTGATGTAGTGATCCATGATTCATTGTTTTCATATAACACCCAGTGCTCAAATAACAATTTCATCCTTACTACCACTCTTGCTAGGGAAAATTTTCTTTGGCATTTTACAGTTAAGGAAAAGATTAAATATATTAAATAACTAACTTTAGTTTAGAGCTAGGAAAAGGTGAAGTCATTATTATATTCCCCCCCCAAATTTTAATGCAAATCAATGAATCAATGGAAGGAATGAAGGGGAAGAGGAAGGAAGGCAAGAAGGCAGGCAGTTTAGTAGATGGGTGAGTGGGTGAGTAGATGGATGGAAGAATGGATGGGTGCAGGGAAGGAAGGAAGGATGGAATGATGGGTGGGTAGATGGAAGAGTGGATAGATGGATTGGTGGATGGATGGTTGATGGATGGATGGATGGATGGATGAAAGACATGACAGAAGATTGGGTTGTTGCATGGACAGATTGGTGGATGAATGAGTGGATTTAGAGAAGGAAGGAAGGGAGGAAAAGAAAGGAAAGGGAAGAGAAAGAAAGGAATGGAAGGAGAAAAGGTGGAAGAAAGAAGGAAAGAGAGAAAGGGAGAAGAAGGGAAGAGATGAAGGAGAGAGCAAAGAAGTGAAAGAGGGAGAAAAAGACTGTTAGCAGGTAAGTTTGCAGGAGGGTTAGGTCATATGAAAGTAAAGGAAAATTTTAAAGGTGTTTAAAGATAGACTGTGCACAGTTTTAAAAATGAGCTAGACAAATATGGAGTCATTATGTCATACACATGAAACTAATATGTCAATTATATCGCAAGTAAAATTTTTAAACAATTTAAAACTCAAAGCAAAATATAAATGAATAAAAATAAACACAAGCATTCAGAAGTTAAAGAGAGAGCAAAAAGGCTGATTGGTTTCCTCTAGGAAGTGGGGAGCCATTCACTGTCCATGTGCAGGGGAAAGACATCTGTTTAAGGAAATCAGCCTAGAGCACTGCAGAGGGTGGAGGTGATTTAAGCAAGGAAAAGACATGGGAAGTCATTAAGAAATCTCAACTCCAGTCCCACTCCAAAAGATCCAAAGTAAACAAAATGGGAAATTGGATTATTTTCTTTTTTTCTTTTTCTGGCTATAAAAGCCCGATATGAATTTCCCAGACTCTGGCTTTATCAGTGTTATCCAGAGAACATACTCAAATACAATAAAGGACCCCTAGGAACTGTATTATAGGAGCAACATGGAATTCCATTGGGAAAATTCTTGGATTGATGTCTAAGTTCTAGGATCACAATTTACTATACCTCCCAAGCTTTCCTTCTCAATGGTGGTGCAGTGAATATCCATGGTCTGCTTTTCTGCCTTCAACCTGAATGTCTTATTCAGCCTGCAGTTCGTAACCCTTAGTGTTTCAATGGCTAAAAAACAGAGAATGTTTGGTCAACAGCAACATCCACTTGCCCACCTGTTCCAATGTGATAATCCTCTGCACTGGACACCAAAAGGAAAAGCCCGCACACTCATGGGAGCAATTACTTCTGATTAGTGTGGGAAAGAAATGGCCAAATCCCATGGGCATTTAGCCAAATTGAAAAAGTGAACTAGGAATTAACCAGGCACCTTCACTCTTTTCTTTTTTATTTAAATTCAATTAGCCAACATATATAGTACATCATTAGTTTTTGATGTGGTGTTCAATGATTCATTAGTTGCGTATAACAGCCAGTGCTCATCACATCATGTGCCCTCCTTAATGCCCACCACCCACTTACCCCATCTCCCACCCACCTCCCTTTCTGCAACCCTCAGTTTTTTTCCCGGAATCAAGTGTCTCTCATGGTTTGTCTCCCTCTCAATTTCTTCCCATTCAGTTTTCCCTCCCTGCCCCTATGATCCTCTGTGCTTTCTCTTATATTCCATATATGAGTGAAATCATATAATTGTCTTTCTCTGATTGACTTATTTCACTTAGCATTAACACCCTCCAGTTCCATCCATGTTGTAGCACATTATAGGTATTCATCCTTTCTGATGGCTGAGTAATATTCCATTGTATATATGGACCACATCTTCGTTATCCATTCATCTTTTGAAGGGCATCTCAGATCCTTCCACAGTTTGGCTATTGTGGATATTGCTGCTATGAACATTGGGGTGCAGGGCCCCTTCATTTCACTACATCTGTATCTTTAAGGTAAATATCCAGGAGTGAAATTGCTGGGTCATAGGGTAGCTCTATTTTTAACTTCTTGAGGAACCTCCATACTGTTTTCCAGAGTGGCTGTACCAGCCTCCATTCCTACCAACAGTGTAAGAGGGTTCCCCTTTCTCCACAACCTCTCCAACATTTGTTGTTTCTTGCCCTGTCCATTTTTGCCATTCTAACTGGTGTAAGGTGATATCTCAATGTGCTTTTGATTTGAATTTCCCTGATGGCTAATGATGATGAACATTTTTTCATGTGTCTGTTAGCCATTTGTATGTCTTCTTTGGAGAAGTGTCTGTTCATGTCTTCTGCCCATTTTTTGACTTGATTATTTGTTTTTTTAGGTGTTGAGTTTGAGAAGTTCTTTATAGATCTTGGATATCAGTGCTTTGTCTGTAGTGTCATTTGCAAATATCTTCTAGTACTTCTCAACCCAGAGAGTACATTAGAATCACTTGGGGAGATTTAAAACCTGATGCTCAGGCCTCATCCCCAAGTGGGCCTTCTATCGGTATTTTTTTAATGTCCTATATGATTCTAATGAGCGTCCAATGCCAGGAACCACTTGAATGAGCATGGTAGAGAGACTAAGATGGCATTCCATGATCCTCACCCCGGTCTTGTGGTATCCAAGTCTTGGGGAAGTCCTTCCCTTTAACTGCAGGCTGGCCTGACAACTTGCTTCTAAGCAACAGAATATGGCAAAAGTGACAGGGTATTGTGCTCATTATTATATTCCATAAGATAGTAACTCCCACCCTGCCAACAGACACTTTTTTGCTGACTTTGATCAAAGAAGCTGCCCTACAGAGTGGCAAGGAACCCAGGGAGGCCTTCAACCTCCAGCCAGCAAGAAACCAAAGCCCTCAGTCAAACACTCCACAAGGAACTGAATCCTGTCAACAATGATGTGAGCTTGGAAACAAATTCTCCCTAGTTCAAGCCTTTAGATGAGGCTCTAGTTCCAGCCAACACTTTCATTGCAGTCTTGGGAGACACCCCCAAGCAGAGTCCTCAGCTAAGCCATGCCCTGACTCCTGACCCATGGAAACTATGGATTATAGATGTGCTGTTTATGATCACTTGTTATGCAACAATTGCTAACTAATACACTCACCTGGAGTAGGTTTCTCTGAATCTCCATAATTATAGATGGTGTATACTTTCTTTTCCTTGCTGATCTATATTTCCTTGAATGTTTATAAGAAATAGAGAGAAATCTCCAATCCAAAATTAAAGCCACACCCTATTCATTTTCTCTGTCATTGTAGTATCTAATGAAATTGGCTACCTCCAAACTTTTGACTGTGGGTCCATGTAGAAAAAAATCAAATCCATGAAATCCAAAATTTTACCAGGCAGTGCACACTGACAATTTGTGTACTGGTTAGGAGAAGAATGTGTACTCAGACCTAGGTGGAGAGTCTGATTCTTTACTCTTACACCATTTAGGAGGCCAGGAACTCATGTACTTTTTCTGGGCCTCAGCCCCTATTATAAAATAGAGGTAATCATGCCTACACTCCAGCACAACTAGGAGGATTTTGTGAGATGATATGCAAACTCGCTAGAACAGAGCCTGGCAACAAACAATGGGAGCTGTGCTTACCATCCTTGTGATTCCTTACCCATAAAAGGCCCTTCCACCGTCTCTGTTTCTTTCATATTTCTGGATGCAGCTGCAAGGACAGCCTTCTCCATAGTCTGCATGTACACTGTCACTAGCCTTGCTTTCTCTTTGTGATTTCCAATGGGTAATTGGGAAGTGAAGTTTGTGAGAAAACAGTAAGAGTTCCCGATTTCCTGTTAGAAACAATCATTGTAAGATGAACGGGAGGCTTTGCAAGGTCAAAGTCCTTTAATCAAACAAATTTGAGCTTGTGTTTTGGCCAAAAAAATTTTCCAATAGCCGGGAGCCCAGGATCCAGCAATGTAAAATCAAAAGCATGCTGGTTTAATACTTATTCCATAATAAAACCATTTTCCTTCTCTTAGACTTTTGTGGTACATTTTTCTGGGTTGGGAGAAGATTTTGGTTTTCATTGCCTTTCCCCAACATTTTGCCATGTGATAACTTCAAAATTAAATTTGACAAGAAGCACAAAAGAGGAGGTATTTACTCTTACTGACAGAGGTTTGAGGGAACTTAAAGCTTTTCTGGGACCATCCCACACCCTTCTATGCACAGACTCCAAAGGACCTGTATGAAATGAAATTCCCCTGAATTGGCAAACCCCAGTTGAGCCCAATTCTGAGAATCTTCGTGTGCCTCATCTCCTAAGAAGGGAAGTCTCAGTAGACTCAGTTCCTTAGCATATCTTTTAATACTTTCCAGGATTATAGTAGTGTTTGGTTTTGATTTGGTTAAGTATCCATCTACATTGGTCAAAGATTCCAAAGTTGTAGTTATGTAGGATGAGTTTCAACACCTCATGTACAGCATGATGGCTTTAATTAAGAATACTATATAATAGGGATGCCTGGTGGCTTAGTTGGTTAGGTATCTGCCTTTGGCTCAGATCATGATCCCAGGGCCCTGGGATTGAGTCCCACATTAGGCTCCTTGCTCAGTGGGGAGGCTGTTTCTCTCTCTGCCTGCTGCTCCCCCTGCTTGTTCTCTCACTCTCTGACAAAAAAGTAAATAAAATCTTCTAAAAAAGAATACTATATAATATACTGTACATTTGCTAAGAGCTTTCAGGTACTCTCACCACACACACATAAAGGTAAATGTGAGGAATTGGGTATGCTAATTAGCTTGACTGTATTAATCATTTCATTATGTATATTTATATCAAAATATCATCATGCACTCCCTGGATATATAAAATTGTTATTAAGACATTTTTTATTATGTTCAGTTAGCTAACATATCATTAGTTTTTGATGTAGCGTTCAATGGTTCATTAGTTGCTTGTAACACCCAGTGCTCATCACAACATGTGCCCTCCTTAATAAAAACTCATAGAGATGAGTTTTTTGGAGCAGTTTTAGGGCAGTGAAACTATTCTGTTTGATACTATAATGGTGGATACACGTCATCATACATTTGACAAAATTCACAGAATGGACAGCATCAATTGTGACACCTAATGTCAACTCTGGCCTTTGGGTGACATTGACATGACATTGCAGGTTCACAAAAGTATCATCTGGTGCCAGATAGCAGGGGAGGCTCTGCTTGTGTAGGGGGCGGGGATATATGTGAACTCTCTATTTCTGCTCAACGTTGTTGTGAACCTAAAACTGCTCTAAAAAACAAAGTCTACTTTAAAAAGGGGTGGTGGTGGAGAAGACATCCACCTGCACCTGGAGCCAAAGGAAAGGAGCTCAGACCTTCAGGGACAGAACAGTGTTTCCCTCTCCACAGCTGCGGGACAGCTTTGCGAAATGGGTGCAGATCTGTCTGCTGTTGTCCTGAGAACTGCTCACATTTAACTAAGAGAGAAGAAGAAAAGGAGGATTTGTTATTTTTCCTTTAATTAGCTTTGGCTGGTTGTCTAGTAGTTTTTATAGATGAGCCCCAGATACGTACGTTATTTTTTTCCTAATTTTTAAAATTTAAATTCAATTAATTAACCTATAATGTATCATGATTTCAGAGGTAGAGGTCAGTGATTCATCAGTCTTATATAATATCCAGTACTCATTACATCACATGCCCTCCTTAATGTCTATCACCCAGTTACCCAGTTACCGCATCCCCCCACCCCTCCCCTCTCCAGCAGCCCTCAGCTTGTTTCCCATGATTAAGCATCTCTTATGGTTTGTCTCTCTCTCTGATTTCATCTTGTTTTATTTTTTCCTCTCTTTCCCTACAATTCTCTGTTTTGCCAAACACATACTTTAAAACTGGTCACCAAAACAGCTTTGGCACCAACGAGCCATGCGACCTTGAAAAAGTCACTTAAATCTCTCTGGGCCTCAGGGTCCCTAATTAAAAACAAAAGAGTTCAGAATATATGGTCTTTACATTTTCCTAAGGCAGTAAAATTCCTTGATTAATTATATTGGGGGACCAACGATGTACACTGCCAATCCAGCCAATGTTTCTTCTTTCTTTAACAAGTCCATTGAGATATATTCACCCATAGGACTCATCCATTTATAAAGTGTATAATTCAATGGCTTTTAGTGTATTCACAGATTTGTACAACCATCACCACAACTGCAATCAGTTTTAGAGCATTTCAACACCCTCCCCTGAAATCTGCATCCCTGAGCAATCACCCCCAATCCCTCCATCCACCCACCCCTTAGTCCCTGGCAACCACTAGTCTACTTTCTATGTCTTGGGATTTGCCTATCTGGACAGTTCATATAAAAGGAATCACGCTCTCTGTGACCTTTTGTGTCTGGCTTCTTTCACTGAGCATCATGTTTTCAAGGTCCATCCATGTTTGTAGCATGTGTTAATGCTTCATTCCTTTTTATGGCTGAGCAGTAGCCCATTGTATGGATGGACCACATTTCTTTTGTCCACTTATGAGTTCACTGGCATGTCAGTCATTTCCACATTCTGGCTCTTGTGAATAATGCCACTGTGAACACTGGTGTACAAGTTTTTGTGTTGGTATGTATTTTCCATTTTCTTGGGTAAATACCTAGCAGTGGAATTGCTGAGAATATAATTCTATGTTTAACTGTTTGAGGAGCTGCCAGGCTGTTTACCAAAGCAGGTCCATGGCTTTCCTTTCCTGTCAGCACGGATGAGGTTTCTGCTTACTCTTCATCCTCACACCTTGATGACAGCCTTGTTAGATACCCCATGGCAACACATCCAGCAAAGCACTCCCTGGATTTCTGACACATAGGAATTTGGAGACAATAAATGTTGTTTAAGTCACTAAGTTTTGGGGTCACTTGTTACATGGCAACATATATTGAATACACCTGCACATTAAGGTGAGGTATCCCTCCCTACATCACCCACTCTATTCTTTAAATGGTCTCCTGTACACTTGTGCAAGCAGAGTGCAAACCCATGAAGTGGTGAACCTTACCTGCTTTTGACAGTTCTGGAAAGTCGGATCACTATTGTCAAAGTTAGAGCAGGTCACAGGGTTGACTTCTAGGACAGAAAAGAGATAAGGTGAGTTAACAACATAGGTTCATCACAAGAAAGAAGGTGCCATGTCTACTTTAATTAGGAGACATTTATCTCCATAATCTTGGAGGATCCCATAATTCCAAAAATAAAAAATGGGAATCCAATTTTGCTTTAGTTTTTAAGTAGTTGGGAAGGTTGTAGCTTGGCCCCTAATAGGGCTTTTAAATATAGGTTTCAATTGGAGGGAAGATGGAAGGTGGAAGAATAGGGGGTCTGTGTTTCATCTGGCCCTTGAATTCAGCTAGTTATCTATCATATCATTCTGAACACCTGTAAATTAAACCTGAGATTTAGGAAAAGAATTGCTGCAATTCTACAAGTAGAAAAGTGACCACCGAGCGGGAGGAAGCAAGATGGTGGAAGAGTAAGGGACCTCGTTTCATTTGGTCCCTTGAATTTAGCTGGATAACAAATCATTCTGGACACCCATGAATTCAGCCTGAGATGTAAGGAAATATATTTGGAACACTACAAGTAGAAAAGAGACTGCTTTTTGCAAAGTAGGAGGTATGGAGACATGAATCTGAGGGGAGATATCAGAAGACAAACGGAAGGGGGAGGGGGCCTCCATAAGCTGGCTACCAGAAAGTGATAGAGCCCCTGGGGTAAAATCAGAACCCTTAGAAATCTGCTCCAGTGAGAGATATCCTTGTTTGGATAGGGAACATTCCTCAAGTTCATAAAATCCATCTATGAAAAACCCACAGCAAATATCATCCTCAATGGGGAAAAGCTAAGAGACTTTCCCTTAAGATCAGGAACATGTCAAGGATGCCCACTCTCACCACTATTGTTCAACATTGTACCAGAAGTCCTGGCAACAGCAATCAGAAAAACAAAAAGAAATAAAAGGTATTCAAATTGGCAAAGAATAAGTCAAACTCTCTCTTTTCACAGATGACATGATACTTTATGTGGAGAACCCAAAAGACTCCACCCCCAAATTACTGGAACTCATACAGCAATTCAGTCATGTGGCAGGATACAAAATCAATGCACAGAAATCAGTTGCTTTCTTATACACTAACAATGCAACTATGGAAAGAGAAATTAGAGAAACTATTCTATTTACAATAACACCAAAAACCATAAGATACCTCAGAATAAACCTAACTGAAGACGTAAAGGATCTATACTCTAGGAACTACAGAACACTCATGAAAGAAACTGAAGAAGACACAAAAAGATGGAAAAATATTCCATGCTCATGGATCAGAAGAATAAACATTGCTGAAATGTCTAGGCTAGGGGCGCCTGGGTGGCTCAGTTGTTAAGCGTCTGCCTTCGGCTCAGGTCATGATCCCAGGGTCCCGGGATCGAGCCCCGCATCGGGCTCCCCGCTCCGCGGGAGGCCTTCTTCTCCCTCTCCCACTCCCCCTGCTTGTGTTCCTGCTCTCGCTGTGTCTCTCTCTGTCAAATAAATAAATAAAATCTTTAAAAAAAATAAAATGTCTAGGCTACCCAGAGCAATCTATACCTTCAACGCCATCCCGATCAAAATTCCAATGACATTTTTCAAAGTGCTGGAACAAACAATCTTAAAATTCGCATGGAATGAGAAAAGACCCCGAATTGCCAAGGAAATGTTGAAAAAGAAAAACAAAGCTGGGGGCATCACGTTGCCCGATTTCAAGCTATATTACAAAGCAGTGATCACCAAGACAGCATGGTACTGGCACAAAAACAGACATATAGACCAATGGAACAGAATAGAGAGGCCAGATATGGACCCTCAACTCTATGGTCAAATAATCTTTGACAAAGCAGGAAAAAATATGCAATGGAAAAAAGACAGTCTCTTCAATAAATGGTGCTGGGAAAATTGGATAGCTATATACAGAAGAATGAAACTTGACCATTCTCTAACAGCATACACAAAGATAAACTCAAAATGGATGAAAGACCACAATGTAAGACAGGAATCCATCAAAATCCTAGAGGAGAACATAGGCAGTAACCTCTTCAACATCAGCCGCAGCAACTTCTTTCAAGATACATCTCCAAAGGCTAGTGAAACTAAAGCAAAAATGAGCTTTTGGGACTTCATCAAGATAAAAAGCTTCTGCACAGTGAAGGAAACAGTCAACAAAACAAAGAAGCAACCCACAGAATGGGAGAAGATATTTGCAAATGACACTAAGATAAAGGGCTGATATCCAAGATCTATAAAGAACTTCTCAACCTCAACACCCAAAAAACAAATAAGTCAAAAAATGGGCAGAAGACATGAGCAGAAACTTCTCCAAAGAAGACCTAGAAATGGCTAACAGACACATGAAAAATTGTTCATCATCATTAACCATCAGGGAAATTCAAATCAAAAGCACATTGAGATACCACCTTACACCCGTTAGAATGGCAAAAACTGAGAAGGCAAGAAACAACAAATGTTGGAGAGGTTGTGGAGAAAGGGGAACCCTCTTACACTGTTGGTGGGAATGCAAGTTGGTACAGCCACTTTGGAAAACAGAGTGGAGGTTCCGCAAAAAATTTAAAATAGAGCTACCCTATGACCCAGCAATTGCACTCCTGGCTGTTGACCCCAAAGACACCCCAAAGACTACCCCAAAGATGTAGTTAAAAGAAGGACCATATACACCCCAATATTCCTAACAGCAATGTCCACAATAGCCAAACTGTGGAAAGAGCCGAGATGCCCTTCAACAGATGAATGGATAAAGAAGATGTGGTCCATATATACAATGGAATATTACTCAGCCATCAGAAAGGATGAATACCCAACTTTTACATCAACATGGATGGGACTGGAGGAGATTATGCTAAGTGAAATAAGTCAAGCAGAGAAAGTCAATTATCATATGGTTTCACTTATTTGTGGAACATAAGGAATAGCATGGAGGACATTAGGAGAAGGAAGGGAAAAAGGAAGGGGGTGAATCGGAGGAGGAGGCGAACCATAAGAGACTATGGACTCCAAGAAAAAAATAACTGAGGGTTTTAGAGGGGACGGGGTGGGGGGATGGATTAGCCTGGCAACCGGTATTTAGGAGGGAACATACTGCATGGAGCACTGGGTGTTATAGGCAAACTGTGAATCCTGGATCACTACATCAAAAACTAATGATGTATTATATGGTGACTAACATAACATAATAAAATAAAATAAAATAAAATAAAATAAAATAAAATAAAATAAAA